GGGTTTAGGGTTTTGGGGCTTCAACCTGTAAGCATTACTTCAAGGAACCCTAAACGCTGAACCCTAAACCCTGAACCCTAAATCCTAAACCGCAAGCCCTTAACCCTGAAGTCTGAACTCCAAACCCGTTCAATTGCAAGGAGCCAATATAAAGGCCCGATATACTTGCCAATACTATTGTGGGGGTTCCTTCTTACAGCTATAGTATAATATACCCCATTAAAACCCTAGTCTAATTATTTAGTCTGCTACATTGTGGTTTGGGTGATTTCGAAAATGCTGTCGCCGCCCTGTCGCCCAGTAGTATCCTTATCTAGGTGGCACTTTGGGAAACTTTGTAATTCCCTTATGACTCCTGTAGAGGTACCTAGCCACAAAAAGCTTTATAGGGGGCCCAAAACTACAACCCAGTTGTACCGTGTTTTTTGGGTCCCCCTGCTACAACTGACTCATGGGAACAAGTGCTTGTAGTATGAGTTCATATAGGAGGCGTGGCGAGTGGAGTTCTTGATCCTTAATGCCTAAGTTTCGAAAGATATCCGAACAGAATGACAGTGGCTGTTAAAAGGATCTGGACGATGGTTTAGTAGGTGGCTAGGTGGGGGCAAGAGGTACCTTAAGTCGACTTCCTCTCTTTATCACCCTGTTTCCAGCTACATGCTACAACCCCCCCCCTCCCCCCCCAATCTTAACCCCCTATAAGCCCTAAATCCTAAACCCCTAAACTCCTGAACCCCTGAAACCCTAAACCCCTAAAACCTAAACCCTAAACCTCAAAACCCTAAACCTCAAACCCTAAATCCTAAACCTCTAAACCTCTAAACCCCGATTGAAGTACAAGCATCGTTCGACTCTGAGAGTCCGAGGTCAGCCGAATGGTGACGAGCGTCGTTCACGAGCGCGAAGCTCGCCTTAGGGATGGCATGCGGATGATGGGCACCCGGGAAGCATTTCGGGAATTTAGGGTTTAGGGTTTAGGGTTTAGGGTTCAACTGAGTCTACTGGGTGACGGTGTTGGGAGGTGGGTTCAGGTTTCGGGGTTGAATGTTGGGGCTTAAATAATTATCACTACTATTGTTTGGGGGCTGATTGTTATAATGATAGTATAAAAGGCCCCAAAACCTTCTTCTAAGTCTAATGATTAAGGCTTCTATATTCGGGTTTAGGGTTTTGGGTGCAGGTTTGGGCCTTGGCGCCGACAAACGCTGACGAAAGAATCAGTCCCGAACCCTACGCCAGACCCCCAAAAAGCCGAAGGCCAAGATGTAGGGACCCCAAAAGGACATAAGCATTAGCATTTATAGGGATATCCCTACCGCATTGGGCTTCATTTTGAGGGGGGTTTATATGGGATATCCCTATCCTATGTTTTGCTTATGTGCTTTTTTGGGGGGCCCTAAAGATTGAGGTCTTGAAGCACCGATTGCAAAAGAGGAGTGTGGTACGTCGCTTACTTGGAGGTTCATGGGTAGTTATAAGTAGGGTTATAAGTTCCCTAATATGGGTTATAAGTATAGTTACCCTACTTAGAAGCCCACTTATAACTACCCATGAACCTCCAAGTAAGGCAGAGTGAGGCTTCGGGGTTTTGTGGGGGTGTAGGGTTTTTCAGGGTTTAGGGTTTGGGGTTTCTAGTAGGGGTTAGTTTCTGGGGATTACTGCAGGTAACTGGTCTTCACTGTTCTTCCCTACTGTTCTCATACTGCATGTTCTCCGCAGCCTTATTTCAACTTTTGCGACCCTTAGATTAGGAATTGAAGGGCTTCCAACATCGCGAAATGTTCTCAGCGTTTGGCCGCAAGGGTCAGTAGCCCCGAAACCCTCAACCCTACGCCCTAAACCCCAAAATTATTCAACTTGCAGTCCCTTCACAACTACCCTATGACATATCTCTCCCAGAAAGGCAACCATAAATCCAAATCCCCGAAGTGCTAGTAGCGAAGCTCTGCGCCCTTTGTGATCGGACTTTTCGGGCAACGGGGACGGTTTTGCGGGTACTAATCTGGAGGTAATTGGTTTAGGGTTTGGGTTGTTTAGGGTGTAGGGTTTAGGATATGTGAGGGGCATTCCGTTTTGTGAGTCATGAGAGATAGTCACTTTATGGCCTCGTTGTCACCCCCGGATGCAACCCCACATCCAGAAGCCTATATAGCGTTTTGGGAGCTCATCTATAAAATCCTGTGAAGCCCTAATGAATTCACTAAACCTTAAATCCCAAACCGAAACCCCTAAACCCTAAAACCCTAAACCCCTATAGACCATCCGCAGAACCCTGAAGACTCGGAAGAAGAAAGACCTTCCCAGGTATGCACCCAGCAGCGTTTTATGTGTCCTGGTCGCTGACCTACGCGCGGGCCTTGGGTGCTTGCCTACAACTCCACCTCTGACTTCAGTTTTCCATGGTTTTTAGGGTTTAGGGTTTAGGGTTTAGGAGTTTAGGGTTTAGGGTTTAGGGTTTAGGGTTTAGGGTTTTGTGGTTCATATAATATAGGGGCCCAAAAGACCTACCAGTACTAGTTTGGGTGTTCCTTATGAGAAGTACAGCATAATAATACGCCACCCAAAAGACTCCACAACCCCTGTTCGAATTTATTAAGGTCCCTTTCGTGCTTGAGATGCCGAAGTATTTTGAGTGAGGACGTTAGGGTTTGCAAGAACGGCCCGCACCTACCAGAACTGACTTCTGTTTTGGTACCTTTTCAGTATAAACCCGAGAACCGTAGTAAGTCAAAAAGACTCGTTTGGGGTTTAGGGTTAAGGGGGTTTGCTAACCTGACCTCAGCCCTTACCTTGGCTCCCAAACCCGTGGAAATGCAGACCAGTTTATCCTGTGCCCTGAACCCCGAACAAAGCAACAACAAGCAACGGGGAAGAGGGAGAAACCTATACCTGCAGCCCATACGGCGTTACAATGAAATGCAGCCAGCAGTATCACATGCAATCGCGACAGCTATCTCCGTTTGCATGTCGTCAAAAGGCTTTAAGGTCTGACGTTTCGGGTCGATGGGTTTTGGTGATCGTGTTCAAGGCGTGACAAGCTGTTCAGAATCCTTGTAACAAAGTCACCCAGCACGGTACCGTCGATTGAATATCCCCGCCTTCTTTGTAGTTACAGGAAAGACGAACCTTGCCTTGCTCATTAGCCCTCAAACGAAGCGAGATCAGACCGCAGAACTGCTGGTAGTCAGCAACCTCAACCAGATGCTCCACACCCGGCCGCACCTGCAGCTGGGATGTTTTTCAACAGCCTCAGCATATAACCAGCAACCACGTGGGTAGTTGTCAAAATTAGGATCCCTTTTTGGGCTACCCTAGATAGTAGGTGCCGTATTATAATAAGGATCCAAAAGGGGACCATAATTTTGACAACCACCCACATGTCAGTTGAATGCGTGACCGTACCTTCAGGCCCGAGCTTTTGTTCCGCGCATCCTCTAGGGAAGCCGCGCGATCATGTCGGGCCAGAACACTTGGAAACAGAGTGTAGCGGTGTTGCAGCAGCCTCATCAGCCGGATGTCGATGAAGAGCTGGGTGTCGCGATGCACATAGGCGGAGACGTGACTGATTCCGTGGAACCAGTACGACTGCTTTATACAAACCTGAAGGATCCTGAGGGGCTCGCCGACCTCCTCCTGGATGAGAGGGTGGACATCCGCCTGGTGCGGGGAGATTTCCTGACACGTCTTGACGGGGAGAAGCAAACTTTCATCCGTCGCCAAGAGTTGGAAGACTCTTCGAAGTACCCGGATGCTTTCGTCACACGCGAGGAGTTACTGAAGTGGAAGACGGTCGCAGCATATCGCCGCACGGTTCGGATTATCGGCGTCTCTCACGTGTGGGAAACCAGGGAGCATCCTGATCCCAGGGGGAATCAACTGGCGATGATCGCCAGAGCCCAGCTTTGGCATGACGAGTCCTCCTGGTATTTCTTGGACTACATGTCAGTCTATCAGTTCTACCGCACAAGTGTCCAGCAGAACAGAAGTTTTCAATACACGATGATGCACATGCACTTCTTTTACGCACATGAGTACACATGGACCTACCGCATCGAAGACTTGGCCCCGTTTGAAGAAGCTGACCGACACAAGCATGTTCAAGTGTTCTTCACAGAGACAGGAGTCCCGCAAGATGGAAAGGTGGAGGTACGGCCTTTAGCAGATCTCCAGGAGAACTCCACACCCTATTCTCGGCGGGGGTGGTGTGAAGCTGAGTGCCAGTGGTCGAGCATGCGAAGCAAATCTCGACAGACTGTCTCGCTCTCCTTCGTGTCTCCGGAGACCTGGACCAGAGCTCCCATGGCGCCTGAGGTCTTCCAAGCAAAAGTAGCCAACTTTGAGCTTTTGTTCACGCACCAAGATAGTGCCGAGGCCGTGAAGGAGCTGCAGGAACGTGTGTTCAGGGAGAAGGCGGCGGAATGCGAGACGCTGGAGATATCCCTTCTGCCACATCGCGAACTTACGATCCTCTCTAGCGCGCTGTCGCTTTACAAGAACCTAACAGTCCTGAGAATAAGCAACAGCCAAGTTGACTGTCGGGGTGCGGAGGCCTTATCCACCGTGTTGACTATGCGAGAGCTACGTCTCCAAAACCTTCGCATCCCTGGGGACGCAGTGCGCAAATTAGCTCTGGGCTTCAAGGGCAACACTGCGCTGTTGAACATGACATTCACTGGGTGCCTGGTGGATGCGAAAGGTGCAGAAGGTCTGGCAGAAGCGATCGCATGCAAGGAGACCAAATTGGAGTCCCTGGATCTGTCTCACAACGTCCTGAAGTGCAAAGGGGCCAAGCACCTCGCCGATGCCTTGATCCACAACTCCGTCTTGCAAAGGCTGGACCTGAGCTCCAACAGCATTGCAGATGACGGGGCAGCCAGCTTTGCAGGCCTCTTCAAGAACTCTGCCTTGAAGCTGTGTCTCGCTGACAACTGCTTCGGGAAAGAGGCGGTGGCCATCTTGCAGAGAGCGCGGGACGAGGTCTTGAGGACTGATGGCAAGGCAGGTGTTCGAGCAAATTCTGCTCTTATTTAAAAAAGTGTATCTAGACATATGTATGTATAATATATATATATATATATACACACACACGTTATGTACCATGTACATACACCTTTTTTCTATTTATGATGAACGGTGCTAGGCATACTATCATCCTCAACTAAAGCCGAAAGGGATCCCTACTTTTCTGACCACATCCGCAAGGTCCATCTCGAGATGACCCACGCCCCCCTCGTATATCGCGAAGATGTCCTTTTTGCGTTATTCTGTGTGGTTTATGTCGCCGCCTTGGCCTGCCATGCATTTTTGATATTTTTGGCATTCCTATACTATTTCGACGATGTCCGCAGAGAGGAAAAAGCTCTGCCACCGGCTGGAGATGCGGAGCTTCTAGAAATGTGGCTCACTGTGCCAAGCCTGCTGCTGATTGCAGTGGGACTTGTTGTTGTCCTTATTGTCCCAAGCATACTTATTGCAGGGGGTGTCATATTAGCAGTTGGTAACAAGTCAGGTTCAATCAAACTTGAGGAACAGCTCAAGAGATACTCGTCGCGTGCACTTCCTGGTCTTTTGAGGATCTGGTCAAAGATCTGGGTGTGTTACTCTACAGTGTGGCTGCCTGCCATGCAATTATACACCCTCCTGGCGGCTCCGCGAACGGAACCCAGTTGGACTATTACTGCAGTCATTCCATATACACTAGTTTGGACAGCGCTCTTCTCGCTGCTGGCCTGCCTCGTTCTATTTCACCCCATGTTTCGTGCCATATTTCGGACTTTCATTCAGGAGGGCAGCTTGCCGTCACTGCCTTTACGGCTATGAGCGCTCATCCCATCCTGCCGCCACCCATATGGACAGACGCCGAAGTGGTCGGCCCCCTGTGTGAAATTTCTGAAGCCTTGACACCTTGGGCAAAGATCCCTTGTGCTCGCATTTGCATCTAGGATGCCAAAGGATTCAGCTTTAGGCTTTCGGGTTCTTTTGGGCTTGTAAGGGTTGAGCGGCTCCTGGTGGATTTGTTTGGATGCCTGCTTGCGTACCTGTTTGTCACTGCATCTGTATGTATGTCTGTGAGTCTGTAAGTCCGTCTGTCTGTCTGTCTGCCTGTATGTAAACGCACTTATATCTGTATGTACATCTGTGTTTGTATGTGTATGTGTATGTGTATGTGTATGTATGTATGTACGTACGTACGTACGTACGTACGTACGTATGTATGTATGTATGTATGTATGTATTCTGTATGCATGTATCATGTATGTATTTGTGCAGGTATGTAGGTTTTGTATGTCTGTCTGTATGTATGTATGTATGTATGTATGTATGTATGTCAATATGTACGTCAATATGTATGAATGCATTTGTGTTTATGTACATGTGTATGTAGATGTATATATATATATATGTATGTGCATTTATATGTATCTAAATTATTGATGTGTACTGTAGATGTAGACGTTTCTGAATATGCATGCCTGTATGCATGTGTACATATATGTGCATTTACGCATACAAATCACGGTAATGGATGAGGGTACAACATTTTACATAGTTAGTCTTTATTATGTATAGCCTCCAGCATATACTGTGGTGTGTTTTGTACATACGACATACTACACCGTATAAACTGAATATTTTGTATTGTGTTATAAATAGTATCCTATATATATATATATGTAAAATGTAGAATGCACAACAACCAAAATACATGATGTAGTCGAATCAGCATTTCTTACTTCCTAGACATGAAAGAGTGTATAAGACGTAATCTACACACTCGTATATGTATATTATATATATATACACATTTAGAGCATGTTTGCTTACTATATGTACTTTACATAGCAAATCATGTGTGCTAGAGTGTATATACGCATACTTGTTCAAAGGTGTATGTTCAACATATGTATGTGTGTATATGTATATGTAAGTATACATACCTACATACACACACACACACATAC